TGACACAATACGTTAAAATACAAATAACAATAGCGTGCGCGTAGCGCGCACTTGTGTTGTGCTAGTAATTTAAATAATTCTTTTTATATCGGGGAAAAATTAAAATCATTCGCGTGAATGTTAACATACTCAAATATCATACACTTAAATTTCTTTTTATTGCGCAATTTTATATTTTATATCATTGGTAAAATAATTATTAATTTGCGAAAAAATTTTTTTGGCTTTTTTCTCTGTTTTGAAAACCAGACGCAAAGAAATATATGCGCGAGGTCTCGATTAATCTGAACTCCGGTTCGGCGGAAAAAAACGGTGAAATCGGTAGCTTTTTTTCCGAATGAGAGGCCATAAATTCACCGCGCTAAACAGACAACGCGGAGAGGTGTGTGTGTATGTGTGTGTGTGTGTGTGTGTGTGTGTGCGCGCGCGCGCGCGCACGAAGAGGGCGGAGAAAATGGACTGACCGCGCGTGAGAGGACACACACATAGTAGGGCATGAAAATCTGTCGCCCCAGACAATACCCCTTGGGGTTTCCTCGGTTGCGGTTGTCACTTTTCGACCACACCGACTAGGCGGAATCCGCGCCTCTGTGCGCGATCGCACGCGTTCCAATTTATCAGCCGGCGCGCGTCGATGTAGCTCTCTCAGGGATTCCGCTCGGAGAAGAAATTCTCCGAGCCGGAACCAATTAATTACTTTGACGATCGTGAAATTCCGAGTGTTGTGAGACTCATCGGCCGGCCATAATTGACTTGTCGGATATTTGGTTACACGGCCGCCCTTCATTAGATTTGCGTTTCTTATCTTGCGCTTCTTATCTCTTCGCGGTTTTGCGTCTGCGTGAAAAACTGCACTTTTTTAAAAAGAAACTTTTTTTGTCGGAACTGTGCAAATTTTTGTCTCTCTACTGAGGCGTCGATGCCGAAGAGATGAATTTTACAAGACAGAAAAAACACGTACTTTACTTCATGGGAGTTAAATATTACTTTCCACAACGCGCGTGGGTTTTGACACTTGAGGCGTAATATTTCGAAGATAAACAAAAAGAGAGCGCAGAATGTGGCTCGTAGTGTCGCAATAAAAACTCTGAGATAAACGGCACGCACGACAAAGGAGACGTATAAATCCACGAGGAGACGGAAGAGCCGTGTAACGTCTCTCACGTCGCGTAATGTCGCGTTTTTGTAACGAAGTCGAGAACATAAGCGGATCGTAAAATATGTATTTCCCGGTCAGCCTGTGTCAGGAAGCGCGACGGGGAGTTCTTTTCCCCCCGCGGCGAGAGGATTGCGTGGCATAATCCCCCAACGACGCACGTTAAGCCGCCGACGTCAGCTCCCGTCGTCTATCAATTAATCACGCGAGGTAATTAGCGTCGCGCGCAAAAAGGCGAGAGCCACATCGCGACCGCGTAATAATTACCGAGCTGCGGAACGTTCGCGATCGCTTCGGACGCGCAGCGACGCATTAAAAGGGACGGGACTGGAGCGCGAAAGAGCAACCGGAACGCGCGGGTGATGAAGAGACGCGTCAACGGGAGAGAGAAGGGCGTAACGCGCGCGGTCACTCTCGCGGTTCGCATTCTGCATAATTATACGACGAATTGGTATGTGATGTTGTTGCGAGCGCGTAATGTTGCCGAACCGAAACTCGATAACGAGGGTGTGTTTAACTGTGCGAGATTCCTGCGACAACACGCGGCCGGTCGAGAACGAGAGAGACAGAGACAGAGAAATCGTTGGGATTACGACATGTGAATCGAAATGTCGATCTAATTCGAAATTCGATTTCGGATCTCGAAGCGCTTGTTCGATTCGGTTCGATTGCGAAACACGTTCTTCTTAGGCACAATGCGTATACGACGTTTGTTCGCGCATATTCGCGAATATCACTTCGCGGGGATATTGGATGTGTTTCAATTCTCTCTCGGGAGGGAGAGGCGCGCGCGAACAGGAGTCGAAGAACAACAACGATCGGGACGCGCGACCGAGATTTGCGCGTCTTGTGTTTAGCCGCCGAACTAACTTAAATTAACTCTCTCGGATTATCCTTGAAGTGCTCCCTTATAACCGCTGGAAGATTACAACTCGAGGAAATTGTTCGGCAGACGAGAGGGAGAGGAAGAGATAGATAGAGCGAGAGAGAGAGAGAACGCTGAAGTTCGACACCTGTCGAGTCTCGGAGAGGCTAGATAGCTACTTCGTCGAGCTAGTCTCTTAGTCATCTCTCTCTCTTTCGAGTGTGCAAGACGCGGCGAAGTCGTAGAAGTGCTCGAGAGATTAACGCTTTCTCTCTCTCTCTCTCTCTCTATATATATATATATATATATATATATATATATTCGTTTTTATTGTGCGCCGTTACTTGCGCGCACGCGTGTATGAATTTTCGAGTATCTCTCGTGGATTATTACGAACACTTTCAATTCCTCCTAAACTACCTTAAACACGATGTAACTATCAAGCGCGTAATGATAACGATAAACTCCGAACGTATACATGTACATTACGGACATGTATATTACGGAGTTGGAGTTGCGCGTTGCATTGTCGTTGATCATATATACATTTATATCAAAACTCGTAATTTAGCGCGCGCTAAATTCCATAATCAAGAGGGCGCGTAACAGGCGACGAGCATCTACGCGTTTTATCAGGATTCTAGCACGCGCACGCGCGCGCGCACGAAGATATAAAAATATAGCGGCTGCATTTGTCCCCGGCGCTCATTTTTCAGCCACCTTATTACATGGAAATATTACGCCGGGTCTCACCCGAGAGAAAGAGCGAGAGAGAGAGAGAGAAAGAGAGAGAGAGAGAGAGAGAGAGAGAGAGAGTGAGGGGGCGCGGCGCGGTGCGAGACGGGAGGGAAGCGAGATAACGATTCGCGCGAGGAGCGATGTGGTACACTTTTTCCTCGGTATTAGACGGCGAGCGCCGAGGGTGGGAGTCGTCTCATTTCAATGTCTGCCGTATTATTAACGGTCTTTTGTCGGCTCTCTCTTCTTCTTGACAAAATTGTCGACGGGAGTGGCATTTATCGTGTCGCGAACCGACGCGGATTCGCAACCTTCGTAATGAAAAAATCTCGTCCCGCAGAGAGATGTCTTATCCTCGGTGACACGAGTCACTTTTTGATTAGCGACACTTGACATTGTGTTACATATCGATGTATAAAATATACAAGTCAGTGTCTTTTATGCGGCAAAAGTTGTTGAATTGCCAAATAAAGTCGGAAATGTTGTCTCGAAAGTTCGTTTCATATATCGCGCTATATATATATATATATAGTTTGGCACACGATCACTGGAGGGTTTGTCTATCGACGAAGCTAATCGAAGTTCGCGTGTTATATACATATATATTGCGCCGCATCGCCGCGATGTAGTTGTTATCATATACAAAATGGCGTATCGAATATACCCGGGTGTTTCGTACGGGTCCAAATTAAAACGTCGATCCGACATCGATAACGACGTCATGTAATTAACGCGTGCGCCACCTCCATTTCAATTACAAATTTTATTCAATATTTATACGCCGACTTTTTACCAATCGACGGGGAAGCTCGCGCCATCGCGTTGCAGAATGCGGTATCCGTGTTTCGGCTTGCTCGCGTGAAAACTGAAAATGGCTCGTTAAGCTAGTCAATTACGCGCGTTGTTTGTCTTGCGCAAGCTTCGCGAGAGATATTTCACTGTGCGCACGTGTGTGTGAGGATGTGTGTGTGTGTGTGTGTATGACAAAGCCGCAGAGATTTTTTCGCCGCGACTGTAACGAACTTCCAATCGAATCGGTTGTTTGCAAAACCGCATTAGTGACGGACGGTCAGATTTAAAAAGAATAGAGAAAAAAAAACTATCGACGAAATATGATTTTCTGTCAGTATTTTGCGAAAGTCCCGCAGATGAGTGAATATCTGCAAATCGACGACTCAAAAAACACTGCGCGCGCTCGGAATGATTTCGTAATGCACTCCCGCGTGCAAACACACGCCCATACATTTCCAGAAAATTAGATTAATTGGACAATTCAATTATTACACCGTGAACGCTCGAAAATTAAATGCCGTGCTTGATATTCCGTTGCTTTGCCGGTGAAGCACGCGCTTTCGGATGTACATAATCATGCGGTTTTACAGATGACTAATTCAATTGTAATTTTAGAATCATTTGTTGGTACGAGGCGGCCGCGTACACGAATAGAGTATTGCAATGTTAATTGGCCGTGTCGAGATTCATCGTGCGGTTTCGAGTGACTACACTTGGAAATCGCGCGCATTAAATCGTAGTCACGGTCGTCGTCGTCGTCGTCGTCGTCGTCGGGGAAAATACGAGACGGAATTGACACACGGGCGCTCTTTAAGAGAGGATCTGAAAGGCAAATTTAATAGCACGAGAAGAGCTAATGAATAAAAAACGATTGAATGATATAAAACGTGGAAACGTGGCTCTCGAGTCGGCCCCGCGCTGCCGACGATACAATTTGAAAAAGACGGATTAAAGAATCACCGAAGCATAAAAACGACCGCGAGAGAAAAGAACGGGAGAGAGAGGGGGAGGGGAAGTGATTGCGAAAGTGAGGGTGGATTTTCATTTGGTGCGCGGATGCAAGTGCGCGCGATTTTCTCGAAAATATGTTTTTCAAATACCAACAAAATGTACACGCTTCGGCAAGCAGATAGCGCAGGCGGTCGATTCACGCTTCACTCGAGCGTGTAAAATGGGACAAAAAAAAAAAAAAAAAAAAAAGAACGATTTTGTTTCACGGGGAAGAGAAATAGAGAATGAAATTTGTCGAATATGCACACAGCGCGTGTTTTCTCGTCAAAATCTTGCGTGTCAATTTTTCATACTTAATGACCCAATGTTTAAACGAGAAAGCGTCATCTAACGCCAATTTACATATTTTTTTTTTAATTTGAAAAAAATTGCAACGTACGGTCCCACATGTTTGCGTGTCGGCGAGTATAAGTTGATTCGCATCGACGAGATACTCACTCGGATCTTTGACCGCTGTGATGACGAGGCGGAAGCCGTTCATATTGGTGCCCCAGGCGTCGGTGACGTATCTCAACGTCACGAAGTTGGTGCGCGTATAAATCGCGCCCACGGTCTGCTTCGTGTTTCTGCAAGATAGGTCCGCCTGGAAACAAAAGAAAATTGCGTTCGTCGAGCGTGTGTATGTGCCACTTGAAAGAGAGAGAGAGAAAGAGCGAGAGGAAGCAGAGAAAGAGAGAGAGAGAGAAGAGAGGAAGTTTGGATGGTTTTTTGCGGACGCTTGTGCTAACGATGCAAATGTCACGTGCGCGCGATATCGAGCGAACGTACATATATGTATATACATATATACAGAGGGAGCGAACGCGCGCTTGATTTACGCGGATAGTTTTTATATCGCCGCGAACTAAAAGTCTTCGGAATCGATGCTGTTCGAGGGAACGTCACGGGAGACTTTGATTTATATTGTTACGCATCTGCGAGTAAAAAAGTGTATTCAACACGCAAACTTCGTGTACCTGTTTTAATCCTAAAAAGATAGACAGGTTTTTCTCGTTTGACTTTTTTTGTTTACGTTCAAGTACATATTTTTTGTTTTTTTTTGTTCAAATATTTTTTATTTTATTTTATTTTTTCGCAACCGGCGACGATGAAAAGATCGCGGTTTTTTTTGTCAGAAATGACAAACGACGGGATCCACACACAGCTTTTAAAAAGAGCCGAACAAGCGTCAGAAAACGTCGTTTCCCGGTAATGACCGAGCGGGATTTTTTGATAAAGCGACCTTTCGTACTCGGAGTGAGAGATTTGTTCTTTTTTTTTTTGTTTTTCGGGTTTTTTTTTGGTAAGAAGCTTATATCGAAACACATTTGTAAATCAGCATTAAAGCACGACTTGACGCGAAACAAAAATGACGCGACCGAGTGGATAATCCTGAAATACGAGTTGCGGCAATATCAATTCGAGCAGCAGCAACGGCACACCGTGGTCGGACGGGCACAAGAAATTTATTCGTAGATTTACACTGCGGTATCTCGTTCGTTTGCCTCGAGACACGTAACACTTGTTGCACCTCCGCGCGCAACCAAACGCGCAAGAAACCGAAAACAAACGGTTGCATCGTCGTGAGAAGATAAAAAAAAAAAAATAAAAAAATAAAACAAAAAAAAAACAGGCGCGGTCGAACGCGCTACCACGTATCGAGTGTTTCGCGTGGCGGTAACTTTCGTTCGGAAACTGCATGTGTACAAATATCGGTGCACCGCGCACAATGTTGTCATACTTTTATGCGCACAGTCAATAAAAGAAAGAAATAAAAATCAAACCGAGAAAAATTGGATGTGAAACATTATTTACCAGATCAGTGACTGAGAAAATAATTCGCAAACTCGATATTTTTTTTTTTTTTTTTACACGATTGCGCTTTATTTGAATGCCGAAAGTGAAGAAGTTTTTGTTCGTTAAAAGGCCGCACAAAACGTGTGCAGTTGCATTTCGCGAGGTTATCGCGCCGCGTGTATCTGGCGTATCTCGCGAAAATCGTAATTTCGCGCGGTGGAAAATTCAGGATGGGAAAAAGAGAAAGTTGTGCGATGATAACAATTTAAATTACATTCCGCGCATGCGCTTCTGCGGAATAAATAACTTTTATTGAAATTTCAACTTTGTTGCGTTCAGCGCTCTGGAATGATAATCCCGCGTTTTGAGTTTACGCGTACGTGTGTATGTAATAAATATTGTTTTCTCTCTCTCTCTCTCTTGATTGTATCGATTTACTTTTGTTATTTCCGAACATTATCGTCACCATTATCGTCTATCATTAGCTGTTTAATAACCGTCTTTATCTCCCGTCCCAATTAGCGCGGACAAGCGGTCGAGTTTTACGGTGGATAATCCGCGTTTAATTATCCTTTCTCGACTCTTATCGTCCTTTCTTTTTCATCATTCGTTTCCTCGCTCGCTTTTACGTCACTTCCTTCTCTCATCTTTTGGACGACAACACAGCATCACATAATTTCTCCGCATCAAGTAAATGAAAATAATTACAAACTTCGAATAATAGCGCAAAGCTTCGAGAACGCGAGACAATCAGTTGGGCCGAGAATTTTCATAAACTTTCTTCCTTATACAAAAAACTAAGAAAGCAAAAATTGTATTGCGTTGTGTGTTTTTATAAAAAAAAAATAATTGAATTTAAGAAAATGTTTGGTAGATATTCAAATAATTGCAGTTTGTCATTTATATTTTTTAATTTTTTTTTTTTTTTTCAGGACTACATCCGCAACCACAGGATCGGACGTTTCGCTTCGGTGAGTAATTGTACATCCAATATTGACGACATCGTACGATACGCATACAGAGTGAGTAATTAAAAACAAATTAATAATATTGAAAAGCGAAAGCGAAACAATGCGACTCTAACAACGTTATTATCCATCTAATGATTTATTAGTTCCCTTACATTTTGCACTTGTGCACATATCCTGTACTGTGTGGGAACTATTGCACACGTTCATCGTTGATTGTTGTGAGTAAATGAAGCTTTCAATATACGTCAATTCATTTCGCCAGCTTCATTGTTATTATATCATTAGCCGCGCGTATTGCGATTATTCAAGCGGACTATATTAAATCGCAACAGCCGTGGCGTTTATTTTTCAAGTGGTCCGGGCGCTACGAGTTTCCGCGAATTTGAATGACACGTTAATGCACTCACTTATCATTACCGCATTATCTATTTTACGAGCGAGTTTTCGATATTTTCCCCAAATTGCCCTCGAAAATTTACAATAAAATAAACCGAATTATCCGCGATAGCACGCACAGTGCTCTCGCTTATTCGTATTATTGGCTTATTCTCGCAGTATCGGCGAGAAATTGCATTTAATTCTCGATTATATGCGATCAGCGATGAAATTCGATTTCGCGACTATCCGTTTCTCTTATCTTTTTGATATCTGTCGCGCGTTTCCCCCGATCGTTGGAAAAATGTATTCCCCGCCAACAATTGCGACGACAAACATCACGGTCTCGAGAATCTAATTGGCGAATCTAAAAGGTCTCTCCATCTGCCGCGTTGAACGGAATAGGTTAGCCTAATTTGCGATTGCATTATTATCGGCAATACAGTAGGCGCATTCACTCACTCACGGGCTTGATCTATAGGGTCTATTTGCGCGCGGCAAATTGTGTACTCTGCCCGGAGTACGAGGATTGCGTCCGCGAACGGCGGTTTAATAACGTGCTCACCGATCGACCGCATGTCAACCGGTCGAGCACTTGTCAATTCCAACGACGAGAGTCATCGATCATGCACGAAACGTAGGGTTAAGTAATCTGCGTTCGAGCGAGCGGACACAGCCCGAACTGTAGAGACGTATAAGCCGGCAGCAACAGCGAGAAGGGTTGCTCTTGTGCAGGCGGAGACTGTGTGTGGAGAGCGCGCGCGTTGCAAAATTACGCCGGCCGATATGCCGTTTATGCGCGCGTTCGGAAACCGATCTCAATTTCGAAAAATCAACAATTAACTTTTGAAGAATCTACGCTCTTCGAAAAAGAAAGAGTCTTTTTTTTTTCTATTCGATATCCATTCTAGTAGAAAAATCGAATCAGTTTCCGAGTCATGAATTTTTTCAACTAAAAATTACTGTTATCGAGGTGACACATCGATCGATTTAATTTTTGCGAGACAAAGTCGCGAACAATTTTCTCGCTCGTTCTCTTTGTGATAAAAGAAGTTGAAATTTCGTATATTCGGCGGGATCAATTCTGTAAAGAGTCCGCAAAAGCGTGAGAAACCAGAGATCGGAAAGATTCGTCTCAAGAGGGTCAATGAATCGAGGCGGGGGCGGGGAAAGAAACGTGCAAAGGGAAAGTCCGGTTTAAGACGAGTTCGGAGATCGCGCGAGAGAGTAGATACATCTTCGGGGAGAGAACGTTTTCTGAATGGTAATGCTGTATGTGATGCGAAACGCGAGCGAATGGGGGCCGTGCCCGTAAGAGGACCACCTAATCTGCATTTACATGGCTTTTCAGCGTATCTCGCGGAGAATGGAACGGGGGAGAAGCCTCGGAGGTGCAATCTCTCTTTCGTCGGCTTTCTCGCCGGCGGAAAGAAGGTCTCTCTTCGTGCGAGTTTACGACAATGCGCGCGCGCGCGCCGTACCACGTCGGTTTCCGTCGAAGAGGTTTCGGAAGGAGAATCGCCGCCGAGAGTGGGTGACCGAGAGAAAGAAAGAAAGAGAGAGAGAGAGAGAGGGAGAAAAAGCCCATTGTCGTGTGTGCAAACAACGGAATCCTCCTTTTGAGGATACGCCGCGGCGACTCCCGGTTTGAAAATCCCGATCGGGAAAACAGCCCCGAGCGCGTAATATTTCGCCGCCGTTGTAAAAGATGCGCGCTACGTAAATAGAGGAAAATATTACGGGAAGAGGTATCGTGTTATAATCCGTGTGAAATTCAATGAGGATTATCGAGCGACGAGATCGCGATTTCGATCTTCGCGAAATAACAGCGAATATTTAAAAAAAAAGTATTTTTCCATTATGAACGCGTCATAACGCCTTATGTAGTAAGGATGAGTGATGAGCACGTTACGAGTCTTGAATATACAGCCCATAACGTGTTACACATTTATACTTACGTAAGCTCGAACATTTTCGTAACGATAGGCAATAATATTATCGATAGCTGAGAAATACTCGTATTTCTGCATTGTGTGTTTATCATAAAATTTGTCACGTTTCCGATAATAGTATTGCACTCCCGTCGGTATAAATTGCACTCGGAGCACATGAGATTTTTTTACGCCCTATATGCAGTTTCTAGGAATACACGCGCGTTTATTATTATTATTTTTTTTTTTTATTGTCAACACGACACGAAATTCGCGTGTAAAAGTCGTTTTATTAAGAAAAAATGTCGTATCATTATTTACTTTGTTATGAAAATTGACTGATACCTGATTTTACTTTGATTCTTCTGTGCAACATGATTTACAGAGTGTGACAATTTATTGCACACATCTCTTTTTATTTACAAGCGACATGAAACATATGACAATAATTCATTTTTATCGTCAAGACTAAAAGAGGTTTTCGTGTTTTACGCGAATTTATTCACGGGATAAATTTTATTCCATCTTGA